GTTGGTTTCATTAAAGAAAGAGGGAAACGAGGCCAATACGGTGATAAATGGACTTACAATCAAACAATTGATCTTTTCTATTTATCCCTCTATTGTATTATGTCTTTCTTCTTCTATGTCATTTACTTCCTCTATTAATCTTTCAAGTTCCCCTTCACTATATATTAATTTTAATATCGTCTTCATACTTGTATTTATTATCCTATTCATTTTCTCTCTTCCTACCCCTTTAAACAATTTGTATATAATTTCCTCTTTTCTGAGACTCTTTTTCTATTGCGTTTCTGGTATATCTTTCTAACTTTTCCTCTAGATCATCTAGAATCGGGTTTGCTTAAGCTCCTAGCCGTTACCTTTATCATCCTAGAAGAGAGTTCTTCCTACTACTTCCTTTTCTTCTGTTAATTTTCGTTACAAAACTACATTATCCATACATCTGCAGATGATCGAAATTTACTATGTTTTTAATAGTATTTTTTTTTCAATCAACAACTCTATATTATTGGATGGGAGAAAAGAGATATCGATCAAAGACCGATATCCCATCCAATAACTGTCAGTCATTAGGAATACTGCGGTGAACAATAGGAATTAATGCTACTAATAACTGATTAATAACGCATTTCTTTATTAATTATATTGCCTTCACAAGCTTCTACGTGTCCGACCACTATAACTGAACAATTTCAATATTGGATGTCTGACATAAAATAAAATCCCGCATATTCCTAATCGACTGAAAAATAACATAATTTAAAATTATAACAATATTAACGTTATTAATTCCTGATGTAATCATTAGAACTGTTATAAAAATAAGTCCAGGAAAAGTACAAAAACTATCTTTATATTATTAATACACTTTCTCTTTTTAATTATGTTATAATTATGTTATTATCTTGTTGAAAGAATAATTTAATAATAAAACCTTATCAACGGGTGGTTTATTATTCATCTTCAGAATATTTATCATAATTTATATTTTTTTTTTAATTACTTTTTTTTAAATAATAACAATTTCAATCCTCCGAGTTGATTTATTATAGATACCAAAATAATATAATAATATGGTAAAAAAAAAATTAATGATTTATAATTCCTTGCATGAATAATTATTTCTAGCAAGCTTCAGCTTCCAAATGCATAAACGTCATAACATCATATATATATATATACATGGAAAATAAGAATTTTGAAATAATACAGTATATTAAAGAAGCGCCCAAGATACCATTAAGTAAAAAGATTTGCATTTTAAACAATGATTCTTCTTACAAATGGATCAAATTCTAATGGTTCATTCAACCAAATTAAACTAAAATAAATCAGATACTGCGCGTGATCTATATATGTTATATAATTTCTTTTTTTTTTTAAAAAAAAAATTACTACTATATTTACTATATTTAAGAAAAGCATTAAAAGGTCATGATAAATACCTTTTGTTATTGGGAATTATAAAGGATAAAAAATTGACGTTGTACTACTATATTTTTAACATCAAAATTTTTTATGATTTTTGTATATAAAATTTTAACAGAAAATTTATTAAGTTCTCTCGTCAAAGAAGACTGACAAAGTTTGATTAATTTATAATACATACATAAAAGTATAAATTCCCGATAACAGTACATAATTTATAATATTTTTGTTCACAAAGTCAGGGAATTTCGATCCTAATGGATCGATATTTTTTTAACGTTTATTAATAACTAATTCTAATAGTAATACAGTAATAGTAATACTTTTTTTATTGGATGATTGAAGACCGATATTCTAAATTTCTAACCTGTCATTTAATATTTGTAATTTTTAATCTTTAATAATGTGTTAGAATTAATAGTAATAATGATTTAGCGATAATTAATAAAAATATTCCTTGTAAAAAAAGTCGATCCGTTTTTTTATATTCCATCTTTTTTCCGTAAACCTATAAAAAATTTTCTGGGAAAAACTCTTTGTATTCAAAAAAACTCCGACATGTGATCAAAATTTTTTTATAGGAAAAGGCTCATTTTTCCTGAATTAATAACCTTATATCACGGAATTTATCGAATTATTTAACATTTTCCGTTAATGGATCCATGTAAGACTCATTTTTATAGAAATAACGGATAAAATTTTTTATAATAGGGTTTAGTTTATTGAACAACTGAATATTATATTTAGCGATGAAAAATATTTTTCAGAGTACTGTTGAATAGTGATTTAGCACTGATTTAGGTATAGTTTAAGATTAACGAAGCATTTACAGTTTATTATATTTATTTTTATTTTTAAGATATAGACGAGTACTGAGGAGATACAAAACAAGTAGACGCTATACTACCCATTACAAGTAACGAGTCGTCCCGACATTTCACAGTTTTAATATGTAGAAAAAACACTGATCGCCATCAAAATTCACCTTCACGTGATTTTCTAGCTAATTTCCCCAGCGCTAATTTCCCAGCGTTACCGTAAATTTTACTATCACGTGACCACATGAAAAATATTTGTCACCACGTCCCCGTTTTCCATTTTCACTAAATCCAGGACTCCAGGGGACTTTAAATTTTTTCGGTATGGAAATCCTATTTGTCACCGCTTACTTGTTACATATTTCGACTCTTAATGCCCTGATCCCGGCCAAAGTCACGTTTTTTACGGTGACGTTACCGGAATTACGGCGCTGTGAAATTAAGTATGTGACAAATTAGAGGTGACAACTGACAATTACTGGCAAATATGATTTTATCATATTTTGATATTATGAAATTTTAATATAACCAATATAACATTTTAACATTTTAATAGAAAAGGATTTTGAACATTAATTAGAAATCCTTCGAAATATGCTCATTAAAATTCGAAATACAGTAAACAAATATATCATTATAAAAATATAAAAAATATAAAAATGTTAAATAAAAAAATATAATCAGAATTTTTTTTTAAACATAAACGACTTGGAATTTATGAACTCAAAAATATATCCGATAAAGGACATATAATTAATATCTTAAATCTATAAATAAAAAAAAAAAAAAAAATTTTTATTTTACGAAAAATGACTTATTGTTTTTAAGGGTTTGACCTATAATTGATTGTCGTGTGGCGCAGTTACGACGAAATTTTTTATTTTTTTATTTTTTTATTTTTATTTTTTTTTTTTATTTCGTTTTATCTGCAAGGGGGTAAAAAAAAAAGTTATTTATTTTCTTTGTAAAAAAAATATAATAAACCTAAAATATAAATAATCATATGCCTGAATTCAAAGTACAAAATCTCTAACGGTATTAATTATAATTTGTTTCATCTTGTTAAACAGTTTATGATTCAAAAAGTCGCAACTTAATCGTGGTCGATTAGTGTAAGTACATTTTTTTATTGATGTCGAAATGTTGAAAATTTTGTTGAAATTTCTGCATGGAAAAACACTCAAGCACATGTTTGAAATTTTATAGCCATGAAGGAAAGTAACACAGTTTTTTAGTTAGCCGAGGACCGTTAAAGTTTAGTACGAATAACAATAGCGAAAAAATTTTTATATTGTTTAACATAAAAATATTTAAAAAATCTCCCCTTCGTTTAACATGTTTAAACGTCCAACCAATATCTGTTCAGCAACGAAAAACTTGTTTTTTTTTCTTTCATAATAATATTATAATAATAATTATAAATAATAATGCTTTTTAAAACCTTTTTTAATAATAATAAATAATATATTACAAATACAAATACGAAAATAAATAATTATAAAAAAATAAATATTTATTCAAAATGTACATAATGTAATAAAGGATGAAGCCGTAAAAGAAAAAAAGAAAAAGTAATAAAGAAAAAAAAAGCTAATTGCCGAATAAAGATAATTTTTGGACTAGTCTTGTAATATCTATAATTTTAATTTTAGTAATTAAATAACAAAGTTAATAAAGTATCATTGAATGAATGATGTAACGATTTTGTCAATTTTACACTAAAAAATTTCATTTAAATAAAAGTTACACTGACGCCACGCCAACCATTGTAAGAATTGTTTACGTACTTTATTTTTTTTTTTTTGAATGGGAAAATTTCCAAATTAAAATTCAATCATAAAAAATTTTATGTTTATGCAATAAGAATACTTTTTCTGTAAACTGTAAACTTGTATACTTGTATACTTGTTATACTTGTATAATATATAATGTATAATGTATGTATATACACAATAATTAATTTTTTGAAAGAAGATTCTTTGTCATTGATAAAAAAATTTATTCCAAATTCTAATTTAAATAAAATTTTATTTTATTTTTTTTTTTTCGAATTAAATCGCTTTTTTTGGTAAGCACCAAAAAAATAATCAGCTGCAAGAAATTTATTACAATAAGCATTGTCTTTGACATAATTTGTATCACAAAATTCGGCATAAAGTTACAGAATCGATTAAATTAACGCGAATCATTTAAATTTTTTTCATGCGGAGAAAGTTTGATTAAATTATTTAAAGTAATTTATTTGATAAAATTAAATATAGGAAAAATTATTATTTAAAAAGAAAATTTCTTTTTTTTTCACGTTTCAGGATTGCATTTTTAAGGTCGTACAAATTTTATTAAATGATTATTAACAAAGACTTTTTTTAGCATAAATGGAAAAAAATAAAATGGACGATTATTTATTTCCGTGTAATAAAAAATATATATATATATATATATTTTTAAAGAAATTACCATTTTTGTTGACAGTAGTAAATCTGTCTCTTATACACATCTAGATGTGTATAAGAGACAGACATTAAACTTTGATTGGTTAGTCGACGTCGACACTAAAATTGGCGTCCCTTTACAGCTTGTTTATAATTGATTTAGAAGACAACGCCTGTCTCTTATACACATCTAGATGTGTATAAGAGACAGCCTTTACAGCTTGTTTATAATTGATTTAGAAGACAACGACGAAATAAATTGAAACTTGTTGAACAAAATTAGATGCAAAACAAAAAACAAATTAATTTATACTTGTGTAATCAAGTTAAAAAAAAAAAAAATTTTTAGAATGTACAAAATGAATTTTATTTTAATATAAAAAAAATGCAATGCTAGTAGTGGATAGACAAAATAATATCTAAAATGACTAAATAATAATGAAAAAAATTAATAAAATATATATAAAAGTCCATTTCTTTTTATAAACCATTTTAAGGTTTTAAGCTTCTAATAATTGAAAATCGGTCCAAGCAGTATAATGATTTTCAGATGATATATTATTATTATTATTATTATTATTATTATTATTAATATTATTAATATTATTATTATTATTTTGTTCAGCAATTTTAGTAGAAATATTATTATCAATAATAAATTGGTGTGCATCCGAAAAGGATGATAAATCACACCAATTATATGATTGGAATTGTTGATTTTCAATTACATTTTGAGTTACTTCAGAGAGTGGTTGTGTTAATAATAAATTACCGCCTAATGTTGTTGATTCATTATATACGGAAGGTTGTACCATAAAAGGATTAAAGGAATCAAAGTTATCATTTTCTATGATACCATTATATAAATAAGGAAACTCGTTCATATGATTTTGTAGTTCAATTTCCGGTGACCAAGTTAATATTGAATTAACTTGTTCATTTATATTATACATTTGATTATCACCATCATAAGTAATTCCCAATATTGCTTGTTCTTCTGGTGTAAATTGATTATTATAATAATAATAATAAAATTCTTCTCCTTCAAATAAATAAGGTTCTTCTAATGGAGATTCTGATAATTGAGAATTAGGTATGAATGAATTTATTGGATTTATTGGATTTTGAAATTCCATATTTTCGATATTTTCGATATTTTCGACGATATTTTGTTCCAAGTTTTGTTCCAAGTTTTGTTGTTCAACGACGACGACAGACATTTTTTTAAGATGATATAAAATTGTTAAAGAAAAAGACGAAAAATGTTTTTGAAGTTTTGAAGTTTTGAAGTTTTGAAGTTTTGAAATTTTGAAATTTTGAAGTTTAAAGTATTGTAGTATTGAAGTATTGAAGTATTTATAAAAAATTGATTTTTTTTTTAAAAAAAAAAAAAAAAAAATTTTGATATTTTTTTTGAGATGTTTTTCAAAGAATAAATGTTACGAACGAAAAAAGTCGCCTCTTTATATAAAAAAATTACACTATTATATCAATCTATTTCTTTATATGTAATTTGTAGATTAAATCAATAGAATCGAAATTTCTCACAGTATATTTCTATTATTCTTTTAAACAACATAAATAACTTGACAAAAGCGTAAGGGATGATCGGCCGATCAACTCTCTTTATGGTTTATTTGTAAACAATGATTTATTTATTCAGCTTATTCAACAACCATTTCACCCATTCCAGCCCTGCTTTTTTTTATTTTATTTTATTTTTTTTTTTATATTTGTACATACAATGAACAATTAATTATTATATGGTAGTATTTCATTTTATATTTATAGATGACTAAAAATAGTTTAATAACTAAAACTTTATTTTTTTATAATATAGGACATAAAAAATTATTTCCGTAAAATTTTTTTACTGTACGGTTTAAAAAAAATGAAACAAGATATTATTATTTTAATAATCGGTAAAACATAATAATAATCGGTGAATAAAAGAAACAATGAAGATTCTTACTTTTTAAATATAATTAATTCTATTTTCCTTTTGTTTTATTTGTAATGTTAATGTTGTAAAAAAAAAAATCCCTTTTATACATTTAAAAACTTTAATATTAATCCCGTTTATAATAAAAAAAATTCATTTATCCCTTATCCCTAAAACCGGGGAAATAATTTTCTTATAACGGAACTTGAGTTCCTAAAAAAAATTACCATTTTTTGTTAATTTTAAAAGGAGTTCAAAATAACTCTATTATAGAATCTAACCACGTTTACTTTTTGAAAAATTATTATTTTACTTTATTTACTTTTTGAAAAAATACATATTATACTATTTACTGTATATCAAATAATATCAAATAATATCAAATAATACGACATCAACATTCAATTATTAATTCACAATGAGATAATTTGAACAATTTAACATGTGTAATATGCAATAAATGCAATAAATGTATTCAAGAAACTTTTTTTTTTTTTTCTATAAAAGACAAATTAACCAAAAAGTAGGAACATATAAATAATCCCTTTCAATATAGTAATAAATGACCCTTTTTTTTCTTTCTTCTCTCTCTGTTATAATAAAAAAAAAAGATTTTCATTATGCTTCGGTTAATATATTTTAACGTGAAATTATATAACAAATGTGTCAGTTGTACGTTGTTTCAAATTTTCTTGAAATTACGCAATTTTTAAACCTTAATACGCACGATGCATAAAAAACAAGATGATATTCGCCCGAAAATTTATTTAAATCCTTAAATGATATTCTATTTAGAAAATTCTGGGAATGGCTTGGTTCCGAATTTTTTACTTTTGAGTGTGGCTGGGATCACGGCGTAATATTTGTTCCTTAGGAAATTTCTGTGTATTCTGTGTATCAATATTTGGATTTTTTTTTTGGCGGTTCGATCGTCGTATAACCTTGTATGCAGTTGATATCCGTTTTCGTGCTTCTAAATCGTAATATTACGACAATTGTAACCAACCGAACAATTGTTAAACAGGAATTTTTAATTGGAATGTTTTGATACATGAAAAAATATTACACTTCTGTGATTAGTTGATTATCGATTTATAATCAGTTTTTTTGAACGCGGATAATAAAAATTACTATACTACTTATACTACTACTTCTTATGAATCCATAATTATACAATCTATTAATCCATTTATTATCTTCAATATCTTTTTTCACTATTACGCCAAGAAAAGATTTTTGTGTGCTTTGTGTGTGTGTGTGTGTGTTTTTGTTCAATTTTTTGTCATGTGCTCATGTCATGGTTTTTTCCTTCTTTCAACTCGTCCAAATACAAAATTGATGTACATAAATAATGATTTATTTGGTTATAAATGAACTTTTAAGTCCATAAAATGAATTTGTTGGCTAAGTAGCATAATATTACCGATCTTTATAAAGCCATTTCAAGTCAAAAAATAAATAAAGTAAAAAATAAAAAAAAAATTAACTTTATCAGTATTTTAATAGTTCGGTCCGTACCTCATTTTTTGAAATGATTGGATAAATTTTTTTTTTTTTTGATGTTTTGAATTGTTTTTTTTTTAAAAAAAAAAACTTTTATTCATCATTGGTTCATACATTCGGGATGTTCCGTTAAATTATCAAAAAATCCCGAACATTATATAATGAAATAAATGAAATATAAAAGGTAATTAAAATATTTAAAATATTTTGAACCAAAAATAAATATCATTTTTCTTTCGATTGTTTTATTTTTATTTTACCTTACTAATAAGGTAAATATAATTATTATATGTATGTTTTAGAATCAACATGAACTCATTTTTTTTTTTTTTTTTTTTTTTTTTTCTTTTGTATATAGTAAAAAAAAAGCCCTTTTTCTCCAATGACGTTATTGATCAACTGTTAAAAGGTTTATTGGTTTACGATATACAGTATATATATATCGCATATACCTTAATTTTAATGTGTCATCGATATTATCATAATCATAATCCTTATCTCAATGAACTACTTTTTTGGAAATATGGTGATTAATTTGGTTATAATAATAAAATAATTAAATCCGTCATTAATAATAAATAAAATAACATTTTCGGATATTTTGATTTATATTGTCTATAATGGATGAAAGGTACTTTTTTTACTGTACTTACTGTATTTTATTGTATTTTATTGTAAATTTTTTTATTTGTATAATTTTTACCGTATCCCGATTTACGATCATTTTCGGTCAGTTATCACATGATTTTTGTAATTCTGGCTGAAAGTCAATATTAAAATAGTAAATCTAATGAAAATATTTTGTAATCCAATTTTACCATAATTGAGAATTATTTTCAAATATTATTCGTCTCTCCTGCATGAACTTGTATATTTTATTACCCGATTTTCTCTTTATTACTTTGATTTTCTTTATATGTTACTATAAATTTCTAATGATGTATGATAAATTATGTGCGAACCCCATGGTAACACACTACCAAGGAGATGATCATAGAAAATCACGTGTAAAATCAATTAATACCGAGTTGAGCACAGCCTTGAGGCTCGTTATGATTTTCATGATGTTGTTGTTGGATATTTTCAGTTGGAAAAGATGATTTTTATAAAGTTTATAAATAGGAACACAAACAAGGGAATTGTATGTGGTAGATGTTCATATGACATGGCGTCATTTTAGGATGATCAAGGTGATGGTGGTGAAAAAGGAAAGGGAGTTCTATATCTTGTAGATCGACATTGCACAAGGAATTCCCCATAACAGATAATTTATTTAATTTATTTTTGGTTACATTAGTTTATATTTTTCTTCTGGTTTGGGGAGAAGGGAGGATGACAAATTAATTTACGTAATTTTCGTAACTCCAATTCTTTATATATTTGTATATATATTGTACACTTTTTTTTTTCATAGTAAATAAATAAAGCAAAAAAACAACATAAACGCGTTTGATAAGTGTACAAAATACTGTTTGTATCAAGGGATATATGTTTGGTGCATATTATATAAATTTAGTGAATAAACTTGTGATTTAATTACCTCCTTGATCTGATCTGTCAAACATGTTTATAAATCATAAAGGGGTTTTTTTTTTTTTTTAAACTTAAAAAGGGGTTTTTAATTACGACATTCGTGGAGATCACGAATAAAAAGACGTGTCGCGCGTTGTTTATAATTGTCGCAATCGTCGCAATCGTCGCACATCTCGGCTTACTTTGTTTGTAATGATCGCGACTTATTCTCACTTATTTAGGTTATTTCGTTATCTTTATAAATTTTTTTTCTATAAATATCGCAATATCGCAATATCGCGCAAAAAAAACATTTTTTTTTTTTGAAAATATTTTTCTATATATATATATATATACATATTTGATATTTCTTCGTTTTCAAAACTTTCAATAGCTCTTTTTCAAACTTTTATAAATAATAATAAAAAAAAAAAATGGTTCTTCTAGAAATTAAATACTTAGAATATTTGGCTTATATTTTTTTATTTGCCCTTTTTATTATTGTATTTACCCGCAATATTTTTTACTTATGTTTATTGTTTGATAAATTAAAACTACCATCTGATCCTGATGCCCCTGATGTTCCTGATGATCATAATGATCCTGATGAAAACCTTGAAGTTATGATAGCTATCGAACCTATTTACGTTATGTTATATTTATTTTATATTCCAGAACGTGTTCCCTATGATCGAGAAATACAAAAGATTGAGTTAATTCCTTATCAACGTAAAAAACGTCCCAAATTTGATGGTAATTTTTTCAATTCATTTCTATTTGTTAAAGGTAAATTAATTAATTATATTAGGGGGTTATTGTAGATCGATTAATTATTATTGAAACGAGTTAAAATTAATTCATATTTATATTTTTTTTTTTTAAGTCGAAGAGCCGAAGAGAAATTAGGTGAGAAATGTGTACTTTTTAAAACTGGATTCCCGCATCAATCGATTAATTCTTCTTTTTTTTATTTTAAGTCAAGGTTAACACTGGAGAGAAAGAAAGTAAGTGAGAAATATGAAAAAATGTTCTTTTTAAACTGAATTCCCGACAGCAGAAACAGCCTATCCAATCAACAGCGCTCAATCGATTAATTATTTTTTATTTTAAGTCAAGGATAACATTGAAGAGAAGTAAGTGAAAAAGATGTTCGATTACTGCATCAATCGATTAATTCTCTATTATTAAACGAGTTAAATTAATTGTAATTTTTCATATTTATATTTTTTTATTTTAAGTTAAGAGAGAAAGTAGGCGAGAAATGTGAAAAGATGTTCTCTCTAAAACTGGATTTCCACATCAATCGATTAATTCGAGTTAAAATTAATTGAATTTTTTCATATTTATATTTTTTATTTTAATCAAGAAGAGAAAGTAGGTGAAAGATGTCCTTTTTAAAACTCTTAAACGTTAAGAATTCAAAGATAAAAGTTCCCGCCTTTTCCCCTAAAGACAATGGCAGTAACATCAATCAGGTAATTATTATTAATTTGACAACTTAATTATTTACCATTTGATTTTTCAGAATAAGATTATAAAGTTGAAAAGTTACTGTATATAAAATTAAAAAAAAAAACTTTTTTTAAATTAGTATAATTTTCAGATTCTGAATGCGAATTTTGGAATCAAAAATTTATTAATAAACTTTATATAAAATTAAAAAACTTTTTTTTGAATTATTATAATTTTTAAATTGTGAATGCGAGTTTTGGATTTATTTTTTAAAGTTTGGTACGAATTGTTTTAAAATTAAATAACTCTAATAGTCTAATCGTAAGATCTTTTTAAAAGATCAGGCCAGTCCTATCTTGATGATAATTTAATATTACTACACCTTGAATGCTACTCAATAAGTGGTAATGATCATGACCAATATCGGTCAAAGACAATCTTATCTACATCGCTCAAATTGTATAATGTGAAATAATTAAAAAAAGATTTGATATTCATCCCACCAAATAATTTATCACATCACGTAATAAGACATTAGGATCGTAGAAATCTGAACTATAATTTTCAACGATGTTGAATTACAAACGTTAATTATTTTTTTTTTTTAAAAAAAAAGTAACCCCCAAATCCCCAATATAAACGTAAATTCCTTGCTATTTAAATAAAATTTCTTCACCGTTAATTTGGTCTATGAGATGCCTAATCTAATTTGAATCTTTGCATACCACGATCATGGATTATTAACACCTAATCTAATTTGATCATGGATTATTAACACCTAATGTAATTTGAATCTTTGCGTAATAAGACATACTACGATCATGGATTATTAAGACCTAATCTAATTTGAAATCTGTAATAAGACATACCAAGATCATGGATTATTAAGACCTAATCTAATTTGAAATCTTTGCGTAATAAGACATACCACGATCATGGATTATTGAGAAAATATTTACGTTAAAAAAATCCCGGACTTACAAAACAATACTCTACATAATCTTAATCTTAATATTATCTTCATTTATTTTTTTTCGTTGGACAAATTCTATCATCAAATTCAAATGGATAATGTCATCTCTATATACATCTATGGACATCGTGCATCTTTAGCTAACGCTATCGGATAAATTACCAATGTACCCTCTTAATATTGAAATTTAAGTGAATATTTCATTATTTCATTGTCCCTAAATTCTCATTCTTGTTGTTTTACAAGATAATGATTACAAGATAATGATTACAAGGTGATGATGTGTTAGAATGTGTTAGTATAGATATATAGAATAAAATGTAAAATGAAATTTCAAGATTTTGATGATTTTGATATAGAATATAATAAAATCTACACCCTTTTACCACCTTATAAAGTTAAAAAACTTTTTATTGTTTCTAATGTTGTTAAATATTGCGTTTTATAATATTTTTTATAAATCATGACACGCTTAGCCTGTCCTTTTGTCCTATCCACCTGCTACTACAAAGCGTGTGACGACGCTATGGAAACTGACGAACCTGCACCTACCGGTGCTTCTGCTCCTCCTGCTAATACTACAACTACTACTCCTCCTTCTGTAACTTCCTCTCTAGATACTTCAATACAAAACATCCTATCTTTCGAACAAACTATGTAACATCCCACCTTGATGTTCAATTAAAATAATTCGTTAAGTTCAAATTTAGAATCGATAAGATTTATTAGAATAAAAAAATCAAATATATATATATATATATTTCTTTTGCTAGGCGCTAACACAAATCCTTCTACAAGTATTTACAGTAACTTTATACAGTACATTTGTAGCCCTTTCCTCTAATCAGCCAGTTTCATATATCGTGGTGTTCATCTGTAACAGCTTGTCCTTCTGCTGTACGTCTGTACCGCAAAACTGTGGTGTATATAACCATGAATTGACTTGGTGTGGGGAGAACTACAAGTTGCTTCTAAACAATTTTCTGGAAAAAACTCCAATTAATGAATTAATAATCATTTTTCTGGTTTTTTAAAACCTCAAACATGTGATCAATTTTCTAAAAAATTTTTTATAGGGACTTATATAATAAATAAAATAAAAGTATTTCATAAATAAAAATGTTTACTGCTTTGAAACATAATAAATTCCTGTAATAATGTAAAATATAAAATCTTATCTGCCCCGCCCGGTACCCATTACATTTCTGCTTTTCCATGCCCTGCCACGACCATCTAACGCCGGTTTCTTTAACGAAGCGCTTTCTAGCAGCGACAGAGTTGTATCTTTGACAACCTAATGCATTTTGTCGGTGCTCATTCGAATTTCGAGCAGAAAACCAGTCATCCATTCCAGCAAAATTATGCTGCCCATTTGCGCCACCCGGCACCCATTGCATTTCTGCTTTGCCCTGCTCGCCCGCCCGGCAGTCCCCATTACATTTTTGCTTTTCCATGCCTTGCTCGCCCGCCTGGCAGTCCCCATTACATTTTGCTTTTCCATGCCTTGCTCGCCCGCCTGGCAGTCCCTATTACATTTCTGCTTTTCCATGCCCTGCCGCGACCATCCAACGCCGGTTTCTTTAACGAGCGCTTTATAGCAGCGTCCTAATGCGTTTTGTCGGTGCTCATTCGAATCCCGGGCAGAAAACCAGTTGACTACATCATCCATTACAGCAAAATTATTCTGCACATTTTCGCCGCCCGGCACCCATTACATTTCTGCTTTTTCATGCCCTGCTCGCCCTCCCGGTAGTCCCCCGTTACATTTTTGTTTTTCCATGCCTTGCTCGCCCGCCCGGTAGTCCCCATTACATTTCTGTGGGTCTTCCCCATTAGCGCATGATGCTAAAGATCATAGAATGATTTAACTCATACACACATGTCATTCATCTTTTGCATTAACGAAAAAAAATCTAAAAAAAAGAATAATGATTAAATTAATATCCATTATTCGTACTTTATAAAAAAAAAAAATTTTATTGTTGATAGAAATTGTCTCAAAGTCTGATTAAAGTTCTTCATTGAAAAAAATTTTTTTCAGCAAGAAAAATTGAGTGAAATGTTTTATCTCATTGACAATTTCATTAATTTCATTAATTTCTAGATTTTTTTTTTCTCTATTCTTTTGTTTTTTTTTTCTTTGAAGAAAAAGCAAAAAAATGAATTCACTTACTTTATTGTAGTTTCTCGTTAATCTTGTAACTTTTTTTTCAAAAAAAGTCACTTTCAAAAATAAATAAGTTGATTTAACATAATAAATAATATAATTTACATTAAAAATTTATCGTAAATTGTATTAAAAAAGAAAATTTTCCCCCGAATCTTGAAAGAGTTTCAACATTGTTAGCGGTAGAAAAAAAAAGAACATCCCATTTTAAATAAAAAAAAACCAAAATCCCGTGATCGGTGTAATCATCTGCGTTAAAAAAAAAATATTGGGTTCTACTATTTAGACCTATATTAATAAACTAATCCATTAAATCCTAATTCTAACCCTAACCCTAAGTTCCTAACCCTACTAATCTTTAATTTTACTATTGAATCTATATACTGTACTTACGTATCACCACATAGTTAGATATTTCCTATCCGTTATTTGTTAGATTAAAACACTATATGACAATTATAATATAAAATTTGTTGTTAGAAGAAATTAAACTAATATAAATGCGTAAATAATAGAATATTTATACTTAAAATAAAAATGAAATCGCATGCAAAGTTAGATCGTTACGAAACGTCCATTAATCCTGTTTGAAAATAAAAAAAAAGATTAAAGCAATCAGTATTATTATAAACCAAAAGTAAATATATGGCTAGTATCAACCTACAAGTATACCAGGTCCAACTTTCTAAGGAAAAGTATTAGTTTTTGAGAAAATACTAAGGTTTTATTAACGATCTGGAAAATTAGTAATTTTTATCAATTTACCTAGCATTGACGAGCGTCGAACTTTTGAATTCGGCTAGTTCTTCTGGACTGGATTTTATTAAATGCTATTTTAAGGAGTTTAACGTCACCTTTTTAGGGACGACCAATCAGTCACCGACCACGACCACCCCACTTAAATGGTAATCAACAAAGAAATATTTTTTAAAGTTACATTAAATTGTTTTTTATTTAAATCACACTATGAATATAATAAATAATGCTACAATATGATACTTTGCTATTTTTTTTTTAGAAAAAAAAATGAATGTAAAAGAAGAAGGAAAGAAATTCATTTAACAATATAAATTACAAGAAGAAATACAATGAAATAAAAAAAAAAATAAATCAATAATGTCTTTCAAAATATACAAAAAAAAAAAGATCATAGGTGTCTATTCGTGTTTCGCTTGTTGGACTTTGATCTTTTTGATTTTGATTTTTTGGTAATGTTTGTAGGATCAATGTCTACCCCTTGACTATATCTTGTGAATGCAGGATATTTTGGTTTAAGTTGATATTGAAATTGATAATGAGGATGAACATTATAATGATTATGATTATAATTTGAAGTTTGTTGTTCTTCCCTATAAAGAAAATTCGTTTATTAATCGTACCGTATATAACGATGTTTCGTACTGTATATAACGATAAATCATTGATATAACTTACTTTTTAGTATGATAACGATCCTGTGGATGAACGACTCTTGAAGTGTTTGTCGCGACAACTGCAACAAGTGAAGTAACTCCTAAGACTCTGAAAAACATTATGAATAATTCTTGTAAGGTTTTTGTTGTTAAAGAAAAAAGATTTTTTTTTGAAGACGTGGAAATGTGGAATGTAGAATGTATGTATTGATGGGATAATGATATATGATTACAAGTAGTATATGATTACAAGAGTATATGATTACAAGTATATGATTACAAGTTTTGAAGGATAATTTAATATATACGTGAGAGAAAGTGAAGAAGGAAAGAAAAGAGAGTGAAAAAAATTTTAAGATTAAATTTTAACCAATGTATAAATATTTAAAATTAAAGTTTTTTTTTTATTCGGATCAACCAAAAAAAAAAATAATTTTAATATTGTTCGTCAACAGGTTTTTTTATCGTTAAAATTAACGTCAACAGGTTTTTTTTATCGTTAAAAATTAATATTTGAATAGATATTTTTATGTCGTCTTTATATAAAAAAATATGCATATAAACTATGGATGCATCAACTAGGTTAAACAATTTATTTGTAATAACGAATTTATAATAATCGATAGATTAGATTAAAGTTAACAACAACAGTTTTAACGGAAGTCAATGACCGATTATTATGCAGACACGGAAGCTTTGATTCCGGAAAATTATATGTCGTACATCACCGATCTTATTAATGTATTGATTTCTTAATCTGAACACATGTAACATTTTTACTACGGTCAATTTCTTAATTTGAACACATGTAACATTTTACTACGGTCAATGCATCAATTAACCAATGACATATCATTGTCAATAATATCGTATGTTTTATTAAATCTCATTGTGTTTCAAAAAAAAAAAAAAGGGTAAAATCAGGGGTTCCTTGATATTTACTTACAAAGAATTTTTATATGTATTATCATTAAAGATAAATTTTATCGTTTAATCGCCAAGAAAAATGGTATCATATTATTTACTTTTTTTGTTTTGTTTTTTTTTTCTCAAAATAAAGTTTCATTGGGCGTTTTATGTCCTAAATTTGAAGTTCATTCAATTCGTTGTTGCATAATTAATTTATTACTCATACCTTTAAAAAGATCATCTCTCAAAAAAATTTTCTTTTTTTAAATTTGCGTGCGACAATATGAAAAACAAATTAGTTAACAAATAAGTAACATACTTTAAAAAAATGAAACAATATGATCTTTTTATAAATTTTTTTTTTTAAAAATCTATTTCCTTTTTTAATGATATGATGTGCTTTATTTTCTAATTTTATTAAATCTATTTAAAGTACAACTTGTTTTTACCGCAGGAGTTGTATCACAGAATTTTTAAAGTTACTCGCAGTACTCAAGTAATACAATCGGATGAATTCCGTTCATAACTTCACAATTGTTCTTACTAATAAAAAATAATTTTTATTTATTATATAGACAATTAGATACCGGTACTGTATGATTATTAAACATTTTTTATGGTAAAAAATTTTTCCCCCACTTTCGATAAGATTTGGCTAAAAAAAATTAGTAAACAATAAATATCTCATTGGATCAATATTTCCCATCCAATAAGTTTGTCGCCATTTAACAATGACTCGAGATGACAAATGATTCAAATGACAAATGACCTACGTCATTTCGATAATTCTAGCATAACAGCGCCACATTTTTTAAAAACGCAATGACCAGGTTATTTCCGAACACTGTGCCATTAAGAATACTGCGAAATAAGAATTAATGTTACTAATATCAGCATTATTGTAGCGCCTCACATAAATAGTACTATACATTTTATTAATAACATCACGTAAAATATTTTTTTTTACGTTGTAAAATAATTATTTCAATGACTACAAATGGATTTTGTGTACGAACTATTTCTATGAGAGAAGACAAATTGTGGTAAAAGGATCCACTATGTAAAAATTGGAAGAAGAGAATAATATAAAGAGTAAATCTTGTTGATTTTTATAATTCTTAAAATCGTGCTGAGGATTACAGTATTCGAACTTCGAGGTTCCTGAACGAGGATTAGATCGGTGTGTAGCTGGAGAAGGTGCATCAGTGTCTCTTTGAGGTATTGCAAATGGACCATTGTTTTTTCGGTAATTAATAAAATGTCGTTTGGCTAAACCATTTTCTTTGTTTCCTTTGTTTCCATTTTATTGGAACGTTGTTTTCAAATAATGTTGCCTTTGATTTCTTGTAATGAAAGTGCTAAAATTTGAGCGCGGTCGTGATGGTTCATTTGTGCAAAGACATATGGGCTTGTATGATTTTAGTTAAGTCATAGGTGACATAAGATCTTAATAAAAGAAGGGCATTTGTAAATAATGATTTATTAGTAAAAGCCCGAATACAAATGAGTAATTTGTCTCCTTCCTTGTGCAATAATTCCGCCAATTGTTACGCCATGTGTTGAAAGGTGGATTGTATGGTACAAAGCAGACAGATAATTTGGTTCAATATTAATTTTGGGAAATTTCTTGAGTATAGGTAAAGTATTATTTGAAGCTTGGATTTTCCATACTGTGTCCTTGGTATGTAAAGTGCTAGTACCATCTGAACGAGAGTTGTAATTAAACCATTTACTTGATAAAGACCAATTAATCAGTGGTTAGCCGTATGTTGTTTAGTGTCTGATAAATTTTTGTGATTTAGGTGATTATCTAATTGCTTGTAATTAATTAAGGTACCGATACATCCTTGTCTAAAGGTACCAAATTAGCGTGACAGTTTGATCCGGTAAATTCTCTTGTATGATCGCAGTTGGCAATTGTGTAAATCTTCCTTCTTTTACATGAGCGCCTGCAATATCATTGGATGTATCACCAGAATGCGCCTTAATGTTGTTGAATTTAACAGTATTAAAGTTTTAAAGTTAGAATAATATGATGGATAGAAGTCCAAAGTGTGTTATTATTAGTTTTATTATATCTTTGAGGTGAAATTGAGGATAAGTTGGCAGATTTATGGTATGCATCTATAGCTGCTTGTGAATCGGTATTGATCGTAATAAGGCCACCAAATGGAGCGGTAATTAATGCTGTTAAAATTGCCATGATTTCAGCTTTAACTGAAGACGGAATGTATTGTAAAGAGCCATGATAAGTGACGTTGAGTTCATCTAAATTGGATAGCCCATGTGCATATCGTTTGTACCAATATCTGGTTGGTAAGATCCATCTGTATAGTATTGGATGCTGTGGAAATTTGATAGCACTTCTGTAATATTGATCAAAGAGGATGTAATTCTTTTGGTGTGATAAGGTTAGTGATTGATGAATGTTGGTTTTTATCCGCGAAGTTGAGTCTGGGGTAGACACTAAATTATTAATTGATGTCGGAGGCGGTGATTGATTGTGCTGAATTAAATAATCATTATAGGCGAGTAGACGGTAGTTTGGATGACTAAGGTCTTGAATTTTGTTGATGTTGTGCGCTGCCAGCATTTGTAAATTACGTTTTTGATGCTGGTGTATAATTAACTTTCACAATACACTTTGGTTTTTGGGGACCTATATAATAAGGAAAATGAAGACTACAACTGTTGCATGCTGAGGTATTATCACGTTGATTGGTAATTGATGTATCCAATGTTCTATATATATAATTGGCGAAGTAATGTTAAAGTGTGTTAGGGGTCAAAATTTTCCCGTAGACAACATCCTTAATGAAAGGAGCTCACGTAGCGATCCATTTGGGGTTTCCAGTATGACTAATAGGGTCTGAACATTACATCGGTATTTTCAGCCGTTGAACGCGTGGATTTTGTATCAACTTCTGTCCCAGATCGATACTAAGCCGATTCGTGTTATTTTGTAGGGTGATGTGTTCTTTTAAAAAACTGTATCATCTTGGAATGTGACCTGTTTTGTTAATTAGCGATGTTTTGATGTCCTTATATTCCAATAAATAAGCTGAATCAATTGTGATAATCTGGTCAAGAAACATGATACCTTTTTGACGAAGACTATTAATATGGAAACAAGTGGGTTGGATTAATAATATAATTTAACTCTAAATTGAAAATTGGTTGAAATAGAAAGATTGTAAAAACGAAAAAAAGTAAATAAAAAATCCTAAACGTGAAAATGAACGAGGAACAAGTCGAAAAGAGAAAAAAAGTTATTAGAATCAAAAGGTAACCAAAAACGATATTGACTAAGTAACATTAAAAATTTTAAAGTATTTGAAGTGTGAAGAGAGTTTGCTTGAGCGACAAATATAGAAGCTTGAGCTTTCATTTGATTATCAAAAATATTGTTTATATGTAGATAAATAGAGCTATAAATAATCGAATTATATGTATTTTTGGGTAAATGTGTTATATGTTTAAAACTGATCGTAAAATGGAATTGATTTTAAAATATGAAAGCTAAGTATTCTATTTTTATTTTTATTTTTATTACCCATGTGAACAAGATTACAGAAAGATAGACAAGAACTAATTAAATAAAAAGCCAAACGCTATCTAAACTATGCTAAAGAAAGCTAAGTATTCTATCCTTTGGTATAATGACTTTGTTGATCACTAAATCACGTGATCATTAGTGATTTTCTTTTTTCCGTATTAGAAAGGTAACGTAATTCACCATCTTTATTTTTGGTAATGATTCAGTTAAAATTAACATTCTACCTATAGGAAAAGCTACCAGAATATTAGGAGCCTACCTTAGCGCAAATGGGTCTAATAAAGACAACAGTATCAAAAATTAATAAGAGTCCAAAATTGATCGTTAGATGAGGATCTTTTGCTATGTCGTTATTATTAGTTAGAAGCGTCATTTTGTCCATTTGTGTTTATTGATTTTGATATTGGCTAATTGGTAAAAATTGTCAGCGATGGCCGGGTTTTATTGTAATGTATTCAAATTATCTGATAACCAGATGGTATCGTCCAAGTAACCTTGGATTTTGTGATCTAGATCATCATTAGGGATACGAGTTGGAATTTTATCTTCATAAGAAATGCCAGCGTGGGGGGAGTTATTTATAGTCTCGAATATGGGATCGTGGTAGATAACCCATAATAATGGACAAATGGATTTCCCGTTGTGACATTATATGGGTCGCCAATCCAATCTTGAAAGATAACTTGATTTTCCTATTGGTAAAAAGGTTGATAATAAAAGTGATTAAAGTTTTAGGAATGCAAATTCTTCATAATGCCAGCTCTAAAAGCGGGATTTCTACGCGATCATACACTTTTGATAGGTCTTGAACCATTATATGTAGGTCTTTTTTTGAGGGTGTGGCTTGAAGATTGAAAACAATTTCCATGTAGGAGGAACCTTACACTCCTACTCTATTATGTTGAAGAATTTGATATATTTTTTAGTGTTTTTAGTAACTGACTTGTAACTTTGTCCAAATATTTCCGCAACTTTTTTTTTAAAATAAAACTAGAAAATGAATATGTGCCGATCATTTTTCAATTTTACAAAAAATCGATAGTGATATTTAAAACTACCTTTGTCATTCTAAGTAAACTTGCAAAGCAGCCAAACTTGACCTTCTTAATGACTTTTGAAATTTATATATTTAATATGAGACAATTTTCTCTATTTCGTGATGTTTGCTACGTAACAATAAAGATTGATTGATATGCAACATTTATGTCATATGTGCATATATGCAATACTTATGATGTACATAATGAATTTGCATAAATATTATTACCATATTTACTCATACTAATAAGGCGTTTAATAAATAATAAAAAAAAGAAGAAAAAAAAGATTTGTTTTATTCTTTTCAGTTAGAGAAAATTTTGATATAATACATAGTAATGGGTCAATGTATTGGTAAAGGTAAAAATCGTATATATAGTATGAACATTTAATACAATAAGAATTTTGAAATTTTTAACAAATTGGTAATATGATAAAACTAGTTTCCGGTAGTATTAATAAAAAAAATGGCTCTGAAGAAAATAAAAATGGCTCTGAAGAATTTGAAGGTATCTGAAATATTAAATTTTTATTGCAAATAATTTGAATACTTATCTGTAAATAAACCTATATATAATATACAAACTAACTGCATTATATAAAAATTATATTAAATAATTTAGCTCGTAAGTTAATAGGTTATCTTATAATTAAATAATAATAAAATTACTTATTATTTTTATTATATCCTATGTGACTAAATAATTCATTTAATACTATAGTTTGTAAGTTATCAGTTGTTTAAATTAATAGTTTTTTACTTTATTTATTTTACATAATATTCAAATAACAACTAATTAATTATATTACAGCTAGTAAGTTATAATACTTAAGAATATTAATTTATTATATTTATTTATCAATATTTAATATAATTTAATTAATTATATTCTTAATTTAAATAAATAGATTGTAAGTAATATATTCAATTTATAGCAAATACCTTTCTTATTATATTTATATCTAACTAATAAAAAAAAAAATTAATAATAATTCAGGGTGTAAGTTATATGATGCCTATATTTCTATTGTTATACAATTTAAGCTAACTAAATTCTTTATTTAAAAAATTATTTAAATAATATAGTTCGTAAGTTATTTATTCAATTCTATTATTACTTATTGTTATAATATTTACATATAATTTAAACTAACTAAATTCTTTATTTAAAAAATTATTTAAATAATATAGGGTGTAAGTTATTTATTTAATTCTATTATTACTTATTGTTATAAGATTTACATACTGTAAAATTAAAC